TATATATGTACGGATGCCTCTATCGGCGGCATAGTAGCTTGACGGCAAGAGTTCCGCGTGCCGTTGTGGATACGCCATCGGCGCTGTCATCCGAGTGCGTGGCTGGTCCCGTGTATTTCCTGCGCCATAGCAGAGGAGATACTCCATCCATCACATGTAACACGCTTAATTTAATAGAACTAGAGGGCATTTAGCTGCACAAGGGCAGCGTTTAAGCTAAAGAATTAATGGATTAATTAGAATCAATTTCAGCCTATGAATTAGCCGAGTTTGTGAATCCTCTAATAATCACTGCGTACTGCTAATTAGTACAAGCCAAAATAGAGATGTATACTTAGATATACACGGATTTCAGCTGATATAGTAGGTACCTAACGGTAGTCTTTGCTGAGAGGATAAGGAAGCTTATGAAGATAGAGTTTGGCGTACAAATTAGTTTCTTCAGAGAGGATTTCCACTATAATTAGGCTAAAAAAGAGCTTAAAAAAGCCTAATTCTGATAGATCAGAATGTTAAGGAGCTCCTGATCGATTTTGAACGTAATTAGCTTCAAATTAAGGCAGTTCTGTTGGTATTAATATAGGCAGTTCATCTGTGCATTCTGACGCCGGAGCAATCACTGCCAAGGCCTGATCAACGTTATTTCAATCGATCGCAGCAGGGTCAATTCTTCGTCGTTTTGGCTGTTTACTAGCTTGTTCGAATCGCAGAGGAGAGCTTGACCTGTATCTAAGAGGGATCTGGATATTTCGCTGTGGTCGTAGCATAATTGGTGGTTGAGAATTCGAAAGCAAAGCCAGCTGCGGAGAGCTGTGCAGATTAAATGCGGCTAAAAAAAGCTTAATTTGGGCATTATACGCTAATTAAGGCATCGGGTACGGAGGGGATATCGTGTGGCCAGATGTCCATGGATAGAAGATGGTCCGCTGACGGCCTCTTAGAGTCATCCCAAGCTAGCATTCTCTCGAGAACTTCAGCACTCCAGAGCGTGACCGCAAATCTTGGATGATTCTAACAAAGTTGTCGTGGGTAATGCCATCTTGCCAGTCACAGGCAGCCCGGAAGAACAACTGTTTCCTGCACCGAATCTTGACCGCGCCTTGGCACCCAGTTAGTTTGGTCGATTTTGCTGCCTTACTCAGGAATTAGTCACCCGGCTCAACTACGGCTCAGCCTCTGCTCAGGCCGCACCGCCACCGCTCCTGCTGCTCACCCTCTTACTCACCTTCTGTCCTGATGCTGCTCAGGGGACTCAGTCTGGCTTCACCCATACTCAGTCCCGCTTTTGAACCCTTGCTATTATTAGCAACATGCCTTGCCTACAGCTGTCGCCTCTTCGAATTTGGGTTAATTCTACACAAAGGTCTGGTGGCCTAGTTTTAGGACCTCTAGGGAGGATGGCATATTGAATTCTTATGCACAGTGTATCTAGACTTATGTATTATATCTGTCTTTGTAATATAGCGATTTTTAATATTATTAATATCTGGGCTACTTTGTCTTCTTTTCTTAATTTCTTTTTTCTTTTTTATTATTTTGTATATATTTTTGTTTTAATTCTTGTTTACTTTATTTTTTATTTTTATATAAAGTTTTATATTTTACGTTTATTTATTTTTTAATTAATCTTGGTTTTTTATTAAAAAAAAGAAAGAATATTATAAAGATTTTTTAATAAACTAAAAAAAAAGCTTTAAAAAATTTATTAAGATTATAAGTAATAATTAAATATATAAAAAGCTTTGATTAATTAATTGATTAAGTCTTACACCTATCGAGCTATAGAGCTTATAAGGGATACAATATGAAACATGAGACAAGGAAACCCTCTGGGGAAGAAAACCTTGTCTCCCTCTGTGTTGATCCGTGAGGTTTTTTCACCCTGTGTACCGAGTAGTCGCATCTGTCAACAGATTATCGCGAGTTATTGCGAAGGAGACAGCTCTGATACGTTGTGTTGCGTGGCTTACATAGTGGTCGACTCAATATGGCTCCTGTCTAGTCCTTACTAGAATATCAGAGGTACTAATCGTTACGTATCTTGGGCCTCGTAGCGCACTGTACACCAGTCCGCTCCCTTCGTAACTCCTCGTTCCTCTCTGAAGTTCTCAGTAGTTGTCTGCAGTCTGTACATCTCGAGTGCTACGAGCAACTATAGAGTCAAGCGAGAGATCCACCCAAGTTCCCTGGCCATCCCGGCCGCCACACAGATAAAGGGCTCCAAGTCACAGTCTAACGAGCGACTAACATCTCTAGGTGTAACTTTTCGCAAGGACTTGTAACATGCTGTAATCCCTACTCTGTCCGGGCCCTAACCGGATTTAGGCTCAGTCCATGCTTATCTAGAGTCCTCTTCTCCTTTATCTGCGCGTACCCGATCAGAACCCAGAGCTCCCTAGTGTATCCCCTCACGTTCTTTTATATTCCCTCGTTTTCCTTAATCTATATAGTTAGTGTCGTTTTAAAGCGAAGGTTTTTTGTGTTCTGTTTTAACTTGATTAATAGCTATCGCCTATAGCAATAAGGATCATATTATATTTTGTTGTTCCTATTTGTGCTTGTTTATATCACACTATAGATTATGTCTATATAATTATTTGTTTAATTTTTCAGTCGTACTTAATTATAACTATACATTCAGAGGTATAAGAAATTATTTAATAGGTTTTTAATTGTCTCTTTATTCAAGTATTATTGTGACTATATATCCTTGTAAATTCTTATAAATAATATATTATATTGCTTCATCTCGTCTTGCCACTTCTGAGGCACGCTTCAGTAAGAGTAAATCAATTACTAAAGAGCAACTTATCCCTTGTGACCCCGAATAGACCTCTATAGGAGACTCTTGTCGTTGAGGGTTTAGCGTTAAGAGGTACCCGCGTTTAGCGGTGAGGTTATTTCTGCAGCCTTGGCATTAGGAACATCAAAATTATGAAAGAGTACTGCAGCCTTGGCGTTAAGAACATCAAAATTCGTTAAGACCTGGCTGCAGCCTTAGCGTTAAGAACACTAAAAGTAAATTATAAGAGTAAATCTTTAATCAGCTACATCAGGCTAATTATTAGAGTTATAAATCTATAAATAGTATTATTTGATAGCGCTAAGAGTTCTGTATCTATATATTTTATTTATATTCTTATAAAAGTAGAATTTAGCTTAAAATAAATAAAAGGATAAAAAAGTACTAATAAAAGAAAGTAACTTTAAGAATGGTTATATTAGTACTAAAGATATAAGATTATAAATAATATAATTAATATAATATAAGATAGAATTTTAGCAAAAGTTTATTAGAGATTAATAACTAAAGTAATTAGCAAATTATAAAAGAAATAAACTTTAATGCTTCTTTTATTTATTATTTTTATTATAAATAAAATGCTAATTAATAATACTATAAAGCTAAAAGTAGTTTTATTTAATAGCTCTTTAAATTTTATATAAGATTAAATAAAAGACCTTCTCATGGTATCTGGTATTAGTACTTATTAGTACGGTTATTATTAATAAGGAAGCTAAAGAGAATTTACTATAGTTGCGCAGGCAAAACGCGTGCGTTTCGTACGCGGTGTGACTGCGCACCACACCGAATCAGAGGATACTAGGTTTTGAAAACTATCTGACTCTTGTTTATCTGACTCGTACTCAGACCTGAAACTAGTCCTATAATCAGTGGATGTGATATCGTTCTAAACAAGAGATAAGACACCTCTATGCTTGTCTCCTTCTAAGATTATGCGTTGTACGCGAGTAGGCGGCGACTCGCTGGCGAGGAGAGGAAATCCTTTAATACAGACGAGTTACTAACATTTAGTAGAACCTTGTTAAGACTTAGAGTCTTATATAGAAAGAACCTTGTTAAGGCTGTAAGGCTATTAAGTAATAGATCCCTCTTAAGGTATTATAGGCAGTCTAGTACATATAAGCTTTACAGAAATATAAGTAGTCTATAAATAAGAGAATACTTAAAACAAATTTAGGACACTTATTAAGATAAAGTTATAAGTGTAACGTGGTTTATAAGCGTCTCGCGCATATAAGCGTCCTGCGCACTTTTCTTTTATCTTACAACTTTGTAATAATTTTATATAGCCACAACATAAAAAAATTAATTATTTTTTATATATTTATTTTCTTTAGTTATTTTTCTAATCTTTTAACAAATTTATATCTTATAATTTATCTTAGTATTACCTAACCCTAACCCTAACC